ATATGTAAATGTAAATATAAACTCACATACATATATACACAGTTACAATATATATATATTTTTATATATATACATGTACAGATATATACACACACACATATATATATATATATATATATATATATATATATATATATATATATATATATATATATATATATATATATATATGTATATATATATATTTATATATTTATATATTTATATAGTTACATATATAGTATATATATATCACAATAATAAAAAGGATACATGAGAAATTCACTTTCTTGTAGGAACAAGCAGACTTTTTGGGCGTTTTCAAAATGATAAAGGGCTATTTGTCGGTTAAAATTCAGACAAATATGTGGTTATTGCAAGAATACAGAGTATAAATTTTCAAAATTACACTGATAGCTCACTAAATAAGCAGGCTTGCGAAAGAACGATTTAAAGTAACTTGATCGAAATCCCAATACAAATAGCACGACACCACAAACATGGGCACGCGGAAGAATGTGCCAATAAAATACTATACGTGACTGTAAAGAAATTAACACTATCACATTTTCATACAGACACTATCATACTTTCATAAAGTGAATGACCGTCTCGTACTTGCCTATAAAAAGCAAAATTGCAACTATGATACTTGTCCATGAAGTGAATAACAGTATTGTACTTGCTTAAAGCCAAAGCAACCCCTCCATCATACTTGCCAATAAAGTAAATGATAGTATCGTATTGCCTAAAAGCAAGAAAAATACCCATCATACTTGCCCATAAAGTAAATAGTGGAATTGTACTATAAATGTACTTGCCTGAAAGCACAATAACACTATCATACTTGCATACAAAGAAAATATCACTATTATACTTGCCGATGAAGTAAATGACAGTATTGTACTTCCCTATAAAACAAATCTTTGGTATCATACTTGTCTATACAGAAAAGAACAGCTACAGACTTGCCTATAGAAAAAGTAATAGTACCACACTTGCCTATAATAAAAAACTATCAGTTTCATAGTCACCTATGAAGCAAGCATTAGTAACATACTTGCCTATGAAGAAAATAACAGTCTTAGACTTCTTATAGAAAAAGTATCACCATCATACTTGCCCATAAAGTAAGCAAAAGTATCGTACTTGCCTAAAAGCGAAACAACGCTATCACACTCGCATTTACAGTATATGACAATATAGTACCTGCCTATAAAAGTAAAATAACACTACCATACTTGTTGTCTTTAGAGAAAAAAACGTTAACATACTTGCCCATAAAGTGAAATCATAGTATCGCATTTGCCCATAAACGAAATATCGTGATAATACTTGACTATAAAGGAAATAACAGTACCATACCGACAGTAATAGTATCACACATTACTATCAACAAAATAACACTATATCATACTTTCTCGTAAAGCGAATGTCAGTATCTTACTTGCCTACAAGGAAAATAACGCGGTATATCTATAAAGTGACTGATTGTACCGTACTTGCCTAAAAGCTAACAGTATCATACTTGGCCATAAAGTGAAAGACAATAACGTACTTGCCTGAAAAGATAATAGCTTTATCATGCAATACAAAGCTTAGAAACAAATTTTCACTATCATACTTGCTTATAAAGTTAATATCACTATAATACTTGCTCATAAAGTAAATGAATGTATCGTACTTTCTAAAAAAAATATAACAGTATCAATTTGCCGATAACGAGACAAGAACAGTTTCATACTTGCCTATAAAGAAAGAAGCGGTATTACACTTGCATATTAAAAAAATAACATTATAACAAACTTCCTTTGTATAAAGCAAATAGCACTGTCATTCTAGCCCATAAAGTGAATGATAGTATCGCACTTTTCTATAAAGAATATATCAATATCAAACTTGCCTATATTAAATGACAGGAACAGTTTCAAAGTTGCCTATAAAGAAACTTGGATATAAAAAATATCATTATAACAAACTTGCTTTGTATAAAGCAAATAACATTGTCATACTAGCCCATAAAGTGAATGATAGTATCGTACTTTTCTATAAAGAATATATCAATATCAAACTTGCCTATATTAAATGACAGGAACAGTTTCAAAGTTGCCTATAAAGAAACTTGGATATAAAAAATATCATTATAACAAACTTGCTGTGTATTTAGAAATAACACCGTCATACTAGCCCATAAAGTGAACGATCGTATCGTACTTTTCCACAAAAAATACATCAATATCAAACTTGCGTATATTAAATGACAGGAACCGTTTCATACTTGCCAATAAAAAAAAGAAACGGTATCACACTTGCATATAAAGAAATAACAGTATAACAAACTTGCTTTGTATTTAGCAAATAACACTGTCCTATTGGTCCATAAAGTGAACGATCGTATCGTACTTTTCTATAAAGAATACATTAATATCAAACTTGCGTTTATTAAATGACAGAAATAGTTTCATACTTGCCTATAAAAAAAGAAACAGTATCATACTTGCATATAAAGAAATAACAGTATAATAAAATTGCTTTGGATAAAGCAATTAACACACTAGCCCATAAAGTGAACGATAGTATCGTACTTTTCTATAGATATATTGATGTCAAACTTGCGTATATTAAATGACAGGAACATTTTCATACTTGCCTATAAAGAAGAGGAAAAATTTATTACACTTGCTTGTAAAGAGAAAAACACTGTCTTACTTGCCCATAAAGTAAATGACTATAACGCACTTAGCTTTAAAGGAAAACAACTTTATCATACTTGCCCATAAAATGAATGCCAGCATCGTACTTCTCTACAAAGAAAATAGCAGTTTCATGCTTACCTATAAAGGGAGTAATAGTATCACATTTGCCTATAAAGTAGTATTAGTATCACACTTGCCTATAAAGAAAATAACAGTATCAGACGCCTATGAAGATATAACACTCTCATACTTGCCAATAACGCAAATAACATATCGTACTTTCCTAGAAACAAAATGTCACTATTATACTTGCATATAAAGAAAATATCAGTATCTTATTTGCCTATGAAGAAAATAGAAAAAATATCAGCATCTTATTTGTCTAAAAAGAAAATAGTAGTATGACACTTGTCTATAAAGAAAATATAACTATCATGCTTGCCCACAAAGTGCATGGCAGTTTCGTACTTGCCTAAAAGAAAAGAACGGTATCATACTTGCCCATAAAGTGAACGACAGTTTCGTAGTTGCCTATACAGTAAATTACAGTATCGTACTCGCCTGAAAAAAAACAGCGCAATCATACTTGCCCATAAAGTGAACGACAGTTTCGTAGTTGCCTATACAGTAAATTACAGTATCGTACTCGCCTGAAAAAAAACAGCGCAATCATACTTGCCCATAAAGTGAACGACAGTTTCGTAGTTGCCTATACAGTAAATTACAGTATCGTACTCGCCTAAAAAAAAAACAGCGCAATCATACTTGCCCATACAGTGAATGGGAGTATCGCACCTGCACGAAAATAATACTATCATACTTGCCCATAAAGTAAACGACAGTTTCGCACTTGCCTGAAAGCAAAATAGCACTATTATACTTGCTTATAACTACTATCATACTTGCCCATAAAGAAAATTACAGTATCATGTTCGCCAATAGAGAAAGTAACAGCATTCTCCTTGCCTACAAAGAAACTACGCGTCGTACTTGCCCATAAAGAAAATTACAGTATGATATTTGCCTATGAGGATAATTTCAAAATCCAACTTGCCTATGTAGAAAATAGCAGTACCATACTTGTTGACAAGAAACGGTATCGTACTTGCCACCAATGGATCCGATGATGAGGGCGTGGTCAGCAACAAGGCTTGTATTTATTTAGGGTACTACATAGGAAGATACTTATTACACCTCCATATGTCCCAGTTCTTGCGATCAATCAAGAAATCGGCACGTACTAGCAACTCCGAATACTGCGATCTCGCGGATTCGAAAATTTAGCCCTCCAGTACCCCATCGCAGTATACGCCATGCATGATGTTATGTAACATCTACAGATATAAACTGGCGGCGAATACGATGTCTCGTTTAATTTTTTGGATGCCTGTAGTGTATAAAGAGAGCAAAGGATTCATAAACTGTACAGAATGTGTATGGTTAGATGTATTGGCGCATGCGGGTAATTGAGGGGCGAGTTCAGCGGTCCTTATACATGTATGTGCATGGATACATAATTTTATTATATGACAAGCATACCATCTATCACATGCAGTACTGATGGATAAGTGTATATGGTATCACGGTGATTGGCAACAGCCTGCTTCGCCGTGCTTGTTCCCATCATAATACTCATCAGCAATATGTACAAGAGGCTAAATATATATAGCTAGACCAACCACATTGTCCAGTTAATACCACTTCCCATAGCGAGCGGTGTAGGTAATTGACATACACGCGGGAGGTAAGAAATGGTATACCCTATTAGGGTACTCCAAAAACACATAGTTAACAAACGAATACATACGTATCGATGACCAACAGGCACTAACAGAAAGACAACACTTTCTGCGTAAAACAAATGTCAAAACGAAGCAAACAAACCCAGATGTAAGGGAAACCCCCCCCCCCCACTTGGTTTTATACCCAGGACACGCTCCAGCTAAGCCAAATGCGATGCTATGAGACGGTAGAGAGCCAAATCCGTTTACCGTTTCTACAGCGATCGCCATAAACTGATATCAAGCGCACACACAGAACAAATGAAGCGTTCTGTTTAGAGCATGGCTGCCTGCCCATTCAGTCTTAAGTCACAATAATCCATCAACGCGTACAGTACAAACACACAATAAATGCATTTGTACAGTACAAACACACACAATAAACGCATTTGTACAGTACAAACACACAATAAACGCATTTGTACAGTACAAACACACAATAAATGTATTTGTACAGTACAAACACGCCCATATATATGGCCAATCTTTAGTCGCAATCTATAAACGCATATGTATAGTACAAACACACACAATACACGTATTTGTACAGTATAAACACACACATACACACATGGCCAATCAGTCCATCAAGTCCATTCATACTAAGTCGTTGCAGCAGGCAGGTGGCGTCAGTAATAAAGGAGAAACATACACAGCTATTTTGATACAGATTTACCTGTATCAAACGAGAGCAGGTCTGCTTCCGGTCTATACCTACAAATAAAGGCGTAACAGTACATACACTCAACAGCTAACAGTAAATACACTCAACAGTTAACAGTACATACACTCCACAGTTAACAGTACATAGGATCAAGAGATAACAGTGCATACACTTAACAGTTTACAGTACATACACTCAACAGTTAACAGTACATACACTCCACAGCTAACAGTACATACACTCAACAGTTAACAATACATACACTCAACAGTTAATCAATACTCGAAAATGGAAAGCACAGGCCGATAAGACCAACGCCTAGCATGAAGTATGTACCTTGCGCAAATTTGACTTCCAGTTCGGTGTTGCCGATGACTTTGGCGGCGAGAGACATTTGTCGCATCAGCTCTTCTTCCCTTCGCAAGCATCTAGGGTTTGGGGTTTGGAGTTTGAGAGGGTGAGTGCTTGAGATAAAAGCCAGCCATCTCTTGTGAGGTTCAAAGTACGAAAGCAACGATCACAGGTGAACGAACTCTTGCAGCGTAGCATATGATACTTAGAGGTAGAACTTAGACTATAAACATCTATCTTATCTGTTGCAAATTTGTAAAGTTCGAATTACGGAAGAAAGATTCGCGAAGAATATATATATATATATATATATATGTCTATCTATCTATCAATCTAATATAGATACATAGATAAATGAATAGATAGATATATATAGGGGTTATATATATATATATATATATATATATATATATATGCATACATACATACATACATACACACACACATATATATATATATCAATCTATCCATCTATCAATCTAATATAGATAGATAGATAGATATATGAGTTATATATATATTAATATATATATATATCTATATATATATATACAAATATTATATATATATATATATACAAATATTATATATATATATATATACATATATATGTATATTTAATATTTGGTGTTAAAGACTTGTAAGGTTCAGGGTGCAAAAGCTAACTCCTGCAGTCACCATCGTGATGATGAGACACATTTGATCGATGATACATATCAGTCGTAGTGACATATCTAAAAAAAATACCGAACACTTACGCGCCAAGATACAGGACCATGAATTAAGAGTGTAGCAGAATTGGCAACGGTACCCGCCGTATCGTCGTCATTCAAGCACACACACACACACAC